TTCTGTTTGTTGTTCAGTATAAATAAATTTCCATTCTAAAATTCACAAAACCCACTGAGGATACTAGTGTGATTTCATTTCAACTCATCAGTATTGCAATTAAATGGGAAAATGCAGCGTTTGTTTTAGTGGCCATCTCTGTTTTGCGTCAGCTGAAGGAAATATTTCATAATCCCCTTACTGAATATGAGAGACGTCGAAACAAACAATCCTGCGGATTTTCTGTACCTATTTATCACACACATGAAGAATTGAATCTTCAAAATTGAAGACATGACGACAAGAAAGAGATGACTGATGAAGCAGTCTTCATTCGCTTTCAAAATTTCATAATGTACCTGCAGTTTCTGATGACCACGATTACTCTCTAGCTTTTCCAATAAAAAAACTCTCTTGTAATAAAAATAAATTTTCTCAGAAACTCGACGAAATCCTAACGGAGGAAAAGAAGAACAGAAAAGAAACAGCGCAAAAGCCCTGGTTAGAATTTTTCGGGATGCATAAGTTTCTCCGAATTTCAGTAATACATTGGCAGAGATTTTCTCCAAGAGAGTGAGTTTGATGTTACTTAAAATACAAATGAAATGAATGAAATGCTTCACGAGTATTGTGTGTATGAAGACGTATGCTATGGTCTATGACTCCAATAATATCAAATATATTGAATTGTATGTATTCATTTCGAATCTATTCACTGAAAAATAATGCGTTTTCTCTCAATGCTATGTTCCATCGAACATTTTGAAAACATTATTTTTTCATCACTTCCTTCAAATCATAGAATTAGAAATTCACATAGTCTTCATGATATCAGCTGTCTCTTTTCCATATTGAAAGCTGTAAAATATTTGTGGATTTTGGCATTCATAGAGAGGTAATTCCAGCTGGAACATTACTGAATGAATGACATTTGTATCAACAACAATTCTTCTCCACCAAAACTGAAATGCTATCTATCGACGCGCCTTTCGCTAACCAAGTTAGCATCATCAGAGGATAACTGAAACTATAAATAACTATAGTTCAAGTCATCTCCTTACTTGGATATCTAAATGCATGTCAATAGACAGCATCCTTATTACGATGTGGGAAAGGTGTTTTCAACTGATTTATTTTACGATAGAGGTTCCAAATTTCAGTTATGAAGTGAATTATATTTGAATATTACTGGAGTTTTTTCCCAACACCAAACCAATATTTTAACAAGAGGAAGATCAAACTGTTTGATCTTTCTCTTAAAGATGATCACTTGGTGATCGAAACACGTGTCGAGGTGTTGAAATCACGGTTTGGTATATGGAAAAAAACTCCAGTAATATTCGTTACTACACCAAAGGTTCTAAACAATGCATCACAAGTACTGAATTATATTTGTCAAATATATCCAATAGTGAGTCAACCTCCCCGGTGCAGATCGAAAATAAAGCTGTATTATGATGATCGCCAATATAACGTTTTTTGTCAATTATTTACAGTAATTACGAGCCTGTTTGTGTAGATGACATTTTTTTAGAGTATTCGTGATGAATTTGTTATCCTGATAAAACACTTTCAACTGATTAAAATGAGCAAAAATCGACACTTATGACAAGTGTTGTCAAAAACATTTTAGACAGACGATTATAATTTTGGAATTCATTTTTCCTGTACTTAATTCAATATTTGGAAACTATAATAAGTGGGTATTTTGAGTGTATATTATATCGTTTCCTGTTTCTGAAAATAATCCCAATCAAAATATTCCATTCCAATAATTTTTTTCCCCAGATAGCACTCAGTCGCCATCTTGAAAGTTTCATCTGTCAATTTCATTATCCCAAATTTCAATTTTTTTAGTTGACCCGTTCATAAAATAAAAGAGGGGGGCATTAAAGAAATGGATAAAGAGAAGGATAGTCCAGTATATTTTTGGAATGGATATGATGAAGTCCGAACATATCTGTGTTTTTCTGTGTTGAGGAGGATGTGAAAAACCATTTCTCTATCTCCTGAACTGTCGATGGTACGATAAAATTGTGTATGAATTTTTGCATCAATTCTAAAATTTCCTACAAAACTATTCTTCATTTTGGATTGATCAATCATATTGTGGAGAAACACGTGAATGTCGCTAACATACTAATACTTTTTATTACACTAGGTATACATATAATAAGAATAAAGTGTCTATTTTGCACAAGAGATGGCGATACTAGTAGCACAAATAAGAAATATTTTTATTTTGATACATCATTCTGACACATATGATGTTTATAATATGTAACATGAAAATTGAAATATCCTGTGGAAGATATAACATCACCTTCATTATTTAATGAAAAAACTTTGATGGAGCAGATATAAAATGAATAATTTGGTATTCAAATCCCAAAAAAAATTAGACCAGAGTGAAGTAGAAACCTTTATCGACGATTTAAATTATTTCGAAATGCAATAAGTCAATATTTTACAATAAACAATGTATTGATAGTGAAGTAAGAGTTCTAGGCTGCAAGAACTGCCATTGAAAGACAAAAAGTTGAGAAAAGGTAACTCTGTTGAAGTTGTTAGGGTTTCGCGATCTACTCTTACGGTAAATTATGCCAAATTTGAAGACCTTCGTCTAATACAACTTTTTCCTAACATTTCGCTGGCTCACGTGGCTAGCTAGTTGTTTTCATCCTTATCTGATATTCGTTTTATTCCAACATGATAGTGTACAAGAACCTAATAAAACGCCAATCATCCGTGGATGCGAAGTCTCAGGAAAATTTACCATAATACGCCGGCCTCAAACCCAACAAAAAATACTGGTTGATTAGGTTAATTTTACCGAAGAAGAAACTAGACACCTGCGGACAAACTATTGGAAATGACCAATATATACGAATAATACTATGCATGCTGATAAGTGAACATTTCCCACACCAAAGTATTCAAAAAACACTTCATTGTGAGATTTTCATGAACAGTTTTACAAAAATGCAACACGTTTTTCGCCATACAATATCCTGCTTCGCCCGAAAAAGCGATTGTATGGCGAAACATGTGGCGTTTTCGAAAAACTGTGAAAATCTCACAAAAAAGTGTTTTTCGAATACGTCAGTTATGGATTTTCATCAAGTATCGGCCAATTTAATCATATATTTCTTACACTATTTACTTTATTCAGGATGCGTTTCGAACTACAATAGTTTCTACAGTTGAACTGGTCCATTGAACTGGTTCATTGAACTTTTCCACAATACATTTCTTGCAATAGTGGTAGTAGATGCGTGAACCTACTAGTTATTAACGCTCAGTCCTTGAAAACAAGTAGAATTTGAGAAGATGTATATACAACTGAAAATTATTAGTTCACTTTGATGATTTACCAGTGGTGCTTGTGTTTTTGTCCTGGAAAAAAAAACTGTAATTCAAAATCTACGAAAGAACAAATAAAATTAGAACGAATAGCTTAAATGTCAATTATATTAAGCAATACAACTTAAAATGAAAATACAATAAAAGGAATAAAATAATCAAGATACGAAATGAAAATGACCACAGAGTAAAAATATACAAGAAAATGAAAATGGACAAAGAATCAAAAATTGAAGAATCAAAAACGATTTCAAATCAAGTTACTTTACGATGTTTCGATTGTTAGTATCCACATTTGTCTTCGGGTGACGACTGGGCTATTCCTCCGAGAGGAGGAATAGCCCAGGGGCAACTCGCTTCATCGGTTTGGCAAGAGTTGCCCGTTTGGAAAGGGAGAGTTTGGTTTTCTTTTGATTGCAATTTTCCACATATTGTTTATCTCTGAGCTAGCTTGGCTGAATGCTTCGTTGGACAACATATATCCAGCTTCTTTCAACTTCCTTTCAAACTAGTGTTCTGCCCTGTGGATGATCTCAACTTGAGACCACTTGATGTAATGTTGGTGAATCCAAACATGCTCTGCCATTCCCGATCGCTGTGTGTTTTTCTTGTGCTCCGCAATGCGGACTTTCGATGGCTTCTTAGTTTCACTGTGTGTTTCACTCACAGGCTATCTGGTGAATGCAATTCTTGGAATCTCAGTCCACGTTTGGTGACCTACTTTTCGTGAGGCTTCTACGGATGGTTTTTCCGGATTTGAAGTAGGTTTTGATGTTGTACTTGGACCCAATTTTTTTTCATCTTTCCGAAAATCCTCTGACGTACAGAAGTACAAGCACTGGTTGTGACGGCTTCTCTTATCTTGCGAGTCTAGCTAAAGTTCGATCCACCTGATATTATATTAATATTCATCTGATGAAGATTATTGTGTTCTTCTGAAAACAGGTTTTCAATTACCATATCAAAATTTTATTCAACATGCTCCAAAAAAAAGAAGATAATTTTGAAATCAATTCAAAATCATCATTTTATGGTTATCATCATAACCATCTTATGGAAATGCATTGAAATCTAGTTCGCCGTTTCGGAATCAGAATGACGTTATTTCATGTTTCGTAGTCCTTTCAGCAAAACCTTTCATTTGATTCTCGTATGGTTCATAGAAAAGACTGATCCGTCATTTTGGGTACTCCGCCATATTGGATGAAGAATGGCGTTATGCATTGTCCTCCAAACGGCAGAGTTTTCGATTGAAGCTGTTACTGGTAGATATACCGCCCAAACTTCTCATGGATGACATCGTCATATTTCAATCAATTCTCACAAAATTGCGATAAATTATAAACATGAACCTTTTGTTTAATCACTTTGTTCATTGTAGTACCGTATGAGAATATCTTCGGCAATTTTTGAATTTATTGCGTTTAGACAGACAGTGCAGAGGATTTTAATTTGCAATATATTTTGATCCAGCACATATTATGGTTCCACTATGAAGGAATTCAAATCAACATGATGAGGAACCCGATTTTCCCAGAATAATGATCGATCAATTATGAGAAATCATTCGGCAAACATCGCCATAGAGGTGACTCAGTTGTTGAAGGCAATCGCCATAGTGGGGAAGCATACAGTGGCTTATTCGATCTAGCCTGCTCTAGTGTCAACACCTCTTGCGTTCAACTTTTCCAGATTCTCCTTCAAAAATGGCGAAACAAACTGAGATCACAGAAGAACAGCTGAAAATTCAACACATGAAACAACTCAGTGTCGATGAACTGAAGATGTTATTGGAGATAAATGAAGAAATTCTTTCCAGCGAGTGAGTAGTTTACAGATACCATGAAAATTTTTTTTATTTGCCTGTTGTTCAATCGTTATCGCTTTTACATCTTTCATGACGTTTACTTTCTAATGCAATAACAATTTTTTTAGGTTTCTCAATTCATTATTTGATATTTATTGAAAGAAAGTGAATTAAATGGAGATTGACTTCAATTATTCTAACAAAAAGTGAATTTTTCAATTGTTTAAACTATTTCAAGAAGATTATACTTCACGTGAAAGAAATCGTCTTCCATACGACCAATTTACTATGGGTTGAAATATTTTTTACAATATGATAGCAATGATGTCTTCATATGTGATACTTAAAATATGTTTTTTAAATAATATGAAAAATATTGAACTGATTAGACTCAATGAATCCAAATGAAATTTCTCACTTTCATTTAAACGAAAATAGTATTTGAGTAATAAATTCTGCAATTTACAATTATGACAGTGGCAGGTCTCTAGTAATTTAGAAAATATTCCATAGTACAAACATGTACTCTGTTGATTTATTTTTTCTAATGGAAAATATCAATTCTGTTATTTTTATGTATTTGGTTTTTTGAGATTCAACTCTTTTCAATTGCATACAATACGGATTCCACAAATATCATTGTGTTATGATATTATAAAAAGAAATCTTATAAACTTCAAAGTCAAGATCTCTCCCCTAATATATAAAAAATTCATTATATGAACTCCATGCGTCGAACACGATGTTATCAAAACATTGACAGTTGCTCTGAAGGAAAATATTTGTACACAATGTACAATATCAAGTTCACTTTTCAAATTCCATAAGAAGTGAATGTTTCAAAAATTGTTTCGTATAAAAGTAAATCGAAAAATCATCAATTGTCGAAATCCTTTACTGATATATGGAGGATCAAATTACAATATGATGTATTGAAATTTAGTTTTTCTGAACGTATGTTAAGAAAATTGGTTTCCATATTTGATTTTTTTTCGAATTGTACTTCCATGAAATCTAGGATTGTGTGGATCCTTACAGAGTATTTCAGAAGTTGTATCAAAAACAAACAGTAGATTGGTAAGTTATTTTTGTTCATAATAAAACTAGAATTCCGTATTTTTATGAGAATATTTGCATTACTTCGGCTAATGCATTGAAGAGCATTAGCCGAAAACATATATGGTATTCATGGAACTGAGCGTATCGAATACACACATTTCATTACATCTTTGAAAATATATTTTCAATTCAATATTGACCTTTCCTTTCAAACGTTATTTCTGTCAATCACAGTCATATGTGCTTTCAACTCCATGAGTTGAATCATTACATATGCAATTAGCCTTATAATTTGATAATCAAAAAATATTAGCAAACTTCATCTTAATTTGTATTAGGACTAGTTGGATAAGCAACTGTGAAAAATGAAAGTGAGAATTTATCAACAAAACAAGCTGAATCGCAATGAAATTTAAGGGTTTTTTTGAAGAAAAAATTTTATATCTTAACTAGCATATGTCGAAAAAATGAAACCTGAAGTGAAGTTGAGAAAATAAAAGTAGCCGACCTCAGAAGATTATGTCGAGACACATTATTAGCTGTCAATTTGTTGTTTGTCGAAATGTATAGTGATGTGGTTCAGAATCGTCATCTTTTTTTATAACAGAAAAAAACTGCAAAAAAACTCTTCCATAACTCAGTCATAATTGTAAATTTACTTTTATGAGCAAAAACACAGTTCATGAATGTTGTCCATAATTTTGAAACGCAAACACATGCATATCGTTGAATGGAATAGAATGCTTTTTATGATTGTGAATAAAATTCGTTAGTATCAGTTTGTTTATGTTTGATTGAATGTATTGTTATTATATTTGTGAATATATTCCAAAAGTTTTCGTACAGGGAATAGATTATTGAAGAGTATCACGATGATAAATGGGGTGACATCAAAAGCCATATTTTTCCTTGAAAATTATTTATGTCATAGAAGGTATTCCTGAATGAATGTTTTCTGTTGTTCGTTGCTGACTGAAGGCAATCCGTATGTCACAACACTCTAATCCACCTATTCAAGAAGGGATGTAAGCTTCAGTTTATTATATTTGGAATAATGAAGATTTTGAGAGGTTCGATTTTGGAAAAATTGAGACATAAAAAATAAATAGTCGATCATTTTGATCAGGTTTTTTTCCATGACATAAATCAAATGTGAAAGGAAAAACTACTAAATTTGCAGAACATTTCTGAGTTTAGCTAAAACTCAGATGGTTCAATTCAACATGTTACTAATATTTCTCTCTAATCATTTTCGCCTATATACTTCAGAAATCAAAAAATATATGGAAGACGTTTCGGAAACTTCCTTGTTCCGAATAGATAGATAACTCATTGAATGAAATCGCACAGTTAGGTTGATTGATCGAATTGAAAATCTGTAGAAATTGACGAAATTATATGAACAATTCATTCATAGCAAATGGAAAGTAATTTGCTTGTTAGAATCTGCAACTCTCTCCAGTTGATAACTGCTGAAAAATCTGCAGTTATGTTTGAAATAATGATCACCTATAATGTGGTAACTAGAATTTTGGAATATAAGACAACATTCCCCATTGAATAAATACGTTAGTTGCTTCAAAAATGTTACGCACATATGATGACAATTTAAGTTAATATCTTAGGAGTTATCAGACCAAAATAGTGAACTTCAAATTATGAAAAGGTGACAATTTTTGTTTCATACAAACCTACTTATGGGTAGCCCTATCTAAACAAAAATTTTTCGGATAACTCATAATAATCCAGAATATTACACAGTATTCGAGGCTGTTTTGAAATGCTCAATAATGACCTGGGATGTTTCAGGATGTTTAGGAACGTTTCAGATCATTCTTGAATAGTTTAGGAACGTTTCAGATCATTCTCGAATGTTCAACACTGTTCCAGAAATTTTAGAGGACGAAATTTCCAGCACTTATATCTTCAAAGACATGCCTTTTAGATGAAACGAAAAACTACTTCTTGAATAGTGTATAGAGGATTACCAAACCATATCCCTTCTTTCATCATTGCACCATTTTCTGAAATGTTCCATGTTCTACCTGAACGTTCCAGACCAGTTTCAAACGTTTCAGAATGTTTAGAGATGTTCTGGAAAGCTATGGAATGCTGTCGAATACTCTCATGTGATAGGTTAGGTTAGGTTAGATCTGAAGTGAGTGGGTCTATTCTACCCTCCACCGCGACCCGCAAGGGTTTGTTGTGACTCACACCTATTCACACTCTACCCAGCTTTTTGACGAAGCTGATTCGTATTGTGAGTGGTCTTTCAGGTCGGATGGTAAGAGTACGGCTCTGCCGAACTCTAGAAACCTGATTCGGTCCCCAGCGGGGCAGGCACAAAATATATGATGTGCTGTTTCATTATTTTCCAAACAGAAGTGACACACACTCTCTTCCGACAGTTCGAGTCTCTGCATATGATGATTCAACTGACAGTGACCTGTAAGAAAGCCTGTTAGACATCGTAGTTCATCCCTACTGTAGTCCAACAACTGTTTGGTATCAAACTTTGAAGGGTGAATAAACACCTTGGAGTAAGCCAATCCTGGAATATTCTGTCATTGGCATGGCTTTAGGCAAAGCATAAAGTACGTAGTTGGAGGCATAAAGTCAGAGGTCATTTCCAGTCTGTTGCACCCTGCATTAAATGGATTTGTGCAATTGGCAAGGTGCACAAGTCTGTATGCAGTCCATCTAGCCTCTCTCTCCAGAAGAATGTGGAGAGGAGGTAGATCTAGAAGGATCTCCATGGCCGCTGACGGTGTGGTACAGATGGCACCACTGATAGCCAGACAAGCCTATCTCTGTAACCCAGAGAGCTTTGCTTGGGCCGTTTTCTGTAAAGCAACTGCACCAAGCAACTGCACCATAAGTGATCATTGGTCTGACAATCATCACATAAATCCAATGGATTTGTTTGGGACCTAAACCCCATGTTTTACCACAAATCGTTCGACATGTCCATAGACAGCCTGGCTTTGTGTAAAACTTTTTTCAAGTGAGCGTTCCAGGTGACTCTTTTATCAAGGACAATGTCAAGATATTTCACCTCCGTTCCAAATGGAATGACCTCACCATTGAGGTAAAGTGGCATTAGGTCGTCCAATTTTCTCCTCCTGGTGAAGGGTTTTGCTGGGGTTGACAAACATCTACTCCCTCAGGCACCAACTGAGAACATCGTCCAACGTGCTTTGAAGGATACTGCAAGCTACCCTTCCCAACATGGACGTTGCCAGGATGACAAGGTCATCTGCATAAGCTTGCAAATCAACTTTTCTTCTGTCGATGGCATCAAGCAGACTATCCATCAGGAGCGACCACAGAAGGGGAGATAGTACTCCACCTTGAGAGCAGCCCCTGGTGACCCTGAACGTAATGAAGTGTGAACGTACCAGCATGGCATAGATCCAGCCAGTTATGGTCGATTTCATACCTTTCCTAGCCAGAGACAATCCTATAGATTCAGGTAGTGCATTGTCAAATGCTCCTTCAATATCAAGAAATACAGCAACCGCAATCTCCTTGTTGTCAAGGGATTGTAAATCTGTCGATTCGTCGGTTTGATAAGCATATTGGTGGTTATTTAGAGGGGATGCATATAATGCTACCCTCCTGATGTGTTCGTTCAGTATCCTCTCAAGTCCCTTCAACAAAAAGGATGTAAAGCTGATTGGTCATACCGATTTAGGGTATGGGTCTCTCCGACCCAGTTTAGGTATATATACCACCCTTGCTGCCAACCAACTGGGTGGTATATAGTTCCACGCCAGACTAGTTCTGTACAATTTTGAAAGAATAGGTAAATTTACTTCCAGTCCGTTTATAATGAAAGCTGGAAATATACCATCCTCTCTAGGAGGATGATAGCCCATTCAACTGCCCATAACCTCCCTTGCGACTTTCCACTCGTTCTTTTTTGGGCGTTTGGCGCCCTCAAAGATGGGAGGTCTGTTTTTATCAAGAGTTAGATTTCCAGGAAAATGGTTTTCTATCAAAGGCTCTAACGTTTCTTTACTAAGTAATATAAACTATTTTAGAAATTCCTAGAGGGTAAAATTTCCAGCACTTCAACACTCATTTTCAAAAAGATGCTCTTCAAGTGGAAACGAAAACTACTTCTAGACGTTCCAGAATATTTCCTAACACTTTCTAGAAAGCGAAAATTCTAGCCTCCATTTTTTCGAAAGCACGTCATCCAGATAATACCGGAAACATTTTACATGAATGAGGAATAACGTAGCACCACAATAATGTTACTTATTTGATCGTTCGACATGGAATGTTACACGATGTTCCCAAACGTTTCAGGTTGTTCTCAAACATTGAACTAAGTTCCAAAATATTTCGTGATGTTCCAGAATATTGTAAAATGGTATCCAACGCTCCCTAATATTCTGCATGATTCTGGAACTTCATTGATGCGAAATTTCCAGCTCTTGAATCGTTGTTAATACGCCATTCATGTAAAAACTGAAACTTTCTCCACAGATGAGGAATGCAGAATTGCCACACCATATAACTAGACTGTTCTTTACTATTGTCTGGAATGTTCTGAGATTTCACGAAACATTTCTATTCCCAAACATTACATAACGTTTTGTAATATTCTAGAATATTATGAGTTGCTACCAAATGATTTTGAATGTTCTGAACGGCTTTGGAACTTTCTAAAGGCGTACCGTGCCCTTGAGAATATTTAGTTAGCTTTTTTGTGGGTGGGTGGGTGTAAAGTTTGTTTTTTTGAAGAAACATCCATATTTGTAACGTAATTGTGAATTGAGGTGTTGTGTATTCCAAATTGTAAGTTGAAGGGTAAACGTTCGGGTCTGTGAATTGAGAATTGTGAGATCAAAATTTCAGAAATTGGCAAATACTTCAACACTTCATTCTAACAAATTGAATTCAGCGTACAAACTTTGGATTCGTTACATTGAAAACAGAAATGTTCATTCCGATTTCTTCACTAGAAATCATGTGATGCAAAGAGGATTTTCTGATTCTATTTCTGACAATGAAAAAATCAAACTGAACAATTCTGTAGTGTGGCAAATCAGAAAAAGCATTTCTTCCTGTACGTAAATGGTTTTGTTAGAGAAGGTAAATTAATTTCAAATATCTGAAAGTTTTTTTGCACTTTCGAACTGAAATATTTGAAGAACTTGAATCAAACGATACAACATTTAAGTATCTTGTGAAATGCATATCCATTCATTGAATCAGTTATGCATTTTGTAAGCAATTTTCGAGATTATTTTCTACTATCCACATTCGTTTGGAATATACCTTGTTGTTATCTCCACGTAGTTAGAAATGAAAAAGTGAACTTTGTCGATTCCAAAACAATAGTTATTTTCCTAAATCTATTTGGGGTTGAATATGTGACTTGTCAATAAGTTGTGAACTTGAAAATTAACAATTCATAACCTTATTCCAGGAACGAAGATGAGAACGCCAAAACCAAGGCAAAAATTGAAATACACGATTTGAAACAAGAACTGAATTCTCGGGAATTTTTGGAAGATTTGAAAGAAACATTCGCTTGGGCTTCAGCCAATGAAAAAGTTATCAGTGGTTCTATCGGCACTCAAGCAATAGAAGCGAAGATCAAATATTTACAATTATCTAATCAGTTATAAGTTTTTTAATTGAGTTGGTGTTCACACCCGTATTCATACCCCAATTGCATTTTTATTATATTCAGTTAGTTCTTAAGTGTAGCTTGAAAATGTTCATAACACTCACTCGACAATTGAGAATGGCAAATGGAGAAGATGCAGTTGGTACAAGAAGGAAGATGTCCATGTTCGATAGGATCTAAAGTTTTTTTCATTCAATTTAGTTTTAGTTTAAAAATATTCATTGTATTATTTTACATTAGACAGTTTTCAAAATTCATACATTGTGTTTTTCATGATATTTTTGAATATTTTTTTGGTGATCAATAGCAGCATACAATGATAATTTTTTTTTATTCTATTTTGAACTCAATACAAGTTTTTCAATGGAAAAACTCACTCAGGTTTAAATCTTTAATATTGAGTGTATCTTTGTTTTATGTATAGATTGCTATACCGCCACATGTTGTGGTAGGTAGCCTTACAAAAATAACTACTGAACTAGTTCGTGAATTTGCACAGTTCGCCTTCACTCAGATAATCATGCATTGTCATTCAAATGACAGCGATATCGATCGTACGCTTTTAATCTATTGGCCAGAAAAAACAACGATCGCAAGCATCGTCAAAGAAGGAACTGCCAATCGTTGAAGGCTTCTTCGATCTATAAAGCCTGCTATATTGTTAACACCTCTTCTGTTCAACTTCTACACACACTTCTTCAAAAATGGCGGAACAAATGAATATATTAGAAGGACAGATGAAACGTTATTTCAGAAGAGTGAGTGTCGATAAACTGAAGAAATTATTGCAGAAAAAAATATTGTTTCGAACAAGTGAGTACTTTTCAGCTGATTTTTACACATGAAAGTAGAATTTCTGACATATAGTCAGTGGGCATACTTAAAGACTGGCTATAAATCAAATTACCTAAAGGAAAAATTCGTTGAGGCAAGTTTCAACTTACCCTGACTGTAGCTTAACGGACTAACACCAGTCAGAAAACAACTACTCCCCTGGCTAATACCACGAAGGGCGTTGGATTATATCCGACTGGTGTGTCAGTGCAGGATTCTTCACTGAAGTTATTACTGCATATGCTGTTGGCGATACAACTGCCGCAACAGATTTTCAATTATTGGAACACACTTGCAGACCGGTTTCGGGCTGTTTGGCCACTCGTTAGTGCAAGGTAGTGTCTATGATCAAAATAAAGTCGATGATTTCCGATAATTAAAAATCGAATTCCTTCAGAGTATCGTTCCTCGAAATAATTATCGGAAATCATCGAGTTTATGTTGATCATAGACACTATTTTGCACTGACGAGTGATCAAACAGCCCGAAACCGGTCTGCATGTGTGTTCTAATAATTGAAAATCTATTTCGGCAGTTGTATCGCCAACACCGGTCGTATATAATCCAATGCCCTTTGTGGTATTAGCCAGGAGAGTAGCTGTTTTCTGATAGGTGTCGGTCCATTATCCTACAGTGTAGGGAGTTGAGACTGGCCTGAACGAATTGTTCTTTTACATGATTTGAAAGTAGAATATTATATATTCATAGGAAATGTAGTTATCGTTGACTATTATCCTTAAACTAAACTTCAAAACAATCTAACAGATGAAAATTAGTTTAATGAAGAAAAGAGAATTGAAACTTCCTATAGTTTTACCACTTTTATTTGTAACTAACGTTACGTCCTATGAGGACAAAACTACAGTAACGTTAGTTATAAATAAAAGTGATAAAAATTCTCTTTTCTTCATTTGGATTTCCTACCACGTAGTAACGGCTACATCTATCAATTCATTAAAATTAGTTTAATAGGTAAAAGTGGAACTTCTGGCGAGAAATGAATCTTTTGAAAACGATTTAGATCCACTAGCTGACTTTTAACGCATGTGCTGCTAATCAGGAGATTACAATCTCAATATGGTGTTCATAGATCTATTCCTACATTTTACAATTTCAAAACTTTGAAAAGTGTCTAAAAGCATGTTGTCATGTACCGCTTTTGAATACTTTCCAGTCACTTTCTGATCGTTCTTTTCTAGTGTATAAAATCGAGTATGTGGAGCATTTTCTTCGTTAGGAGTTATCAAAGTCCGCGTGTTGCTTAAAAGGAGTTATTAAACTCCGCGTATTTCAAACAACATACATTTCGTCGCAAATACGTTTCAGAATAAAGATGTCTTGGTTTTTATTCCTCAGAGAACAACCACAGAATTAGTAAAAAATGCTTGAAATTTTCGAGATCGATACATCTCAACATAGGATTGGTGCACATATTCCGTTGAATAATCAAAAATCGATTTAAAGATTGTACGATTAATTCTATTGACAATTCATTGCATCTTTGTGAATATATTTCCTATTTGACTTCAATATCTCTAAAAAACTTTCAATATTGAAATTAACCTGACGTTTTGTACTACCAAAAAGACACTTAGCCAGAAATTTATTTGGTTTACCCCATGGTTGTAAGGGGTGGAAAACGTAAATTACAAAATACACCTTTCAATTTACCTTTCAAAATGCGGGACCCTGGCAAACTATATTGAACTTGAATAACCGCCGATTGAAAGTAGTGTGCGGGTGCCTTGTGAATTCACTTAAACGAACCATATTTAACCTTTCTTCAAGTGAATATGTGCACATGACACCGAAGTACACCTTTAACACAAACTTCACGGCCAAAATCATAAGACGTGCAGAGTGGAAGACCATTAGTCATCCCGAAAACATGTTTAGAAAATACACCTGGTTTACAGATGGATCGAAGACCAAACATGGAACGGGAGCTGGAATATACCGAGCGGATAAAAATTTTAACTAGAGCTAACCGTTACATCATACACACACATACATAGCATACACATCCGTCAGGTGGAAGTGTATGCTATCTTGCAGTATGCAAGGCTTATTAAATTGAGACCTCAAAAACTTCAATCGTTTATCGTGAAACATAGGGCTGTGAGATACAACATCTAGGGAAGGTGTACAGGGGTCACGCCCCAAGTATTTCTGTGAAATTTCAAGAAGCTGGGGAAATTCAGGTGGAAACTATAAGCATATATGTTTGCTCTACTGCTATCATATATCTATCTATTGTCTGATTCAGTATGTTCTGCTATCTCAAGCTCTCTCAACCGTACTTAACAAAACTGCTTATTTGTTGAAAATTTCGTTTGAAATATTTGCTACTTACCTATCCAATATTGCAAATGAGAAAACAATTTTGGGTGTTGTTGATATGAATTCAAAATTTTGAGTCATTGAGTTCAATATTTCGAGTTATTCCATTCCGTATGCAGAGTTGAGCAAGTTAGTATTTCAAAAGTTTGTCCATTTGAATTCAGCATTGAATCAAGTTGAATATCTCAGGGTTGACAAAATATGTTGATCATATATATATCTTGTAAATATATGTATATTTCCAATAATTTGAAATTGAAGATGGGGAAATAACGCACCAGAAATAGCTGGTTTCCATATATTATGTGTTTGTAATTGTATACCTTTTTTTGAGCCATGAAATGAAAAGTACCGAAGAACTATGGTATAGTCAGAGATTAAGGAAAATTCAGTGGATTATACTGTTTGAGTGGCTTCTGTAATATGGAAAGTTTTTTAGTGTTTGTGAAAAAAATTGTCATACAAATTTTATGTACCCTCTTTAAGGGTCTGTACCTTAACAAGGGATGCTCCAATAAAGTTTCTTTATATGAAAGATCCTATCTTTTTTTCGATGAGGAATCACCTCCTCAAATGTTTTACACTTATTCAGTTACACCCTGTATTATTAAGGAAAATAAAAGCAAGCAGATTGAAATGTTTCTTTTTTTGCATGGAAATTGATAAAACTACCGATATTACCTGTACAACACAACTTTCAATGGTTTTTAGATATGTCAAAGATGGTAATGTGGTAAAACGTTTTATGGATTTTCATGATGTCTCATCTGTTAATTCGTACGTACGTGTGACCCATAATTTTAGGCAAAAGTTGATTGCGGAAACCTATGATGGGGTTGCGGTCATGGTCGGCCATTTAAATGGTTTACAAACTAAAATAAGGTCCATAGCTCCTCATGCACTTTCTATGCATTTTCATGCCCATGCCCTGAATTCAGGATTAAGCAAAACGTGCAGCAACATAAAGGATTGCCGCGTATTTTTTTCAAGTTCGTCTGGATTTTCGGCATTCTGTTCAAAATCCACCAAAAGAAGCCATGTTTTGAATGAAATATGTGGTAGCTGAATGCCAACTTCTGCTGCTACGCGTTGGAATTCTACATCTAGAGCAGTAATTTCAGTGCAGTCAAACAATGCAATGTCTTTGATTTTATCTTAAACAGTGACGATTTTATAACCGACGACAAGAGTCTTAGGTAGGCAAGAGGTTTCAAATATATTTTAAAATATCACAAGTTTTGTTTCTTGTTTGAAATATTTAAATTAATATTTGAACATACCGATGTTGTTTTTTCTATTTTTCANCCGAAAACATGTTTAGAAAATACACCTGGTTTACAGATGGATCGAAGACCAAACATGGAACGGGAGCTGGAATATACCGAGCGGATAAAAATTTTAACTAGAGCTAACCGTTACATCATACACACACATACATAGCATACACATCCGTCAGGTGGAAGTGTATGCTATCTTGCAGTATGCAAGGCTTATTAAATTGAGACCTCAAAAACTTCAATCGTTTATCGTGAAACATAGGGCTGTGAGATACAACATCTAGGGAAGGTGTACAGGGGTCACGCCCCAAGTATTTCTGTGAAATTTCAAGAAGCTGGGGAAATTCAGGTGGAAACTATAAGCATATATGTTTGCTCTACTGCTATCATATATCTATCTATTGTCTGATTCAGTATGTTCTGCTATCTCAAGCTCTCTCAACCGTACTTAACAAAACTGCTTATTTGTTGAAAATTTCGTTTGAAATATTTGCTACTTACCTATCCAATATTGCAAATGAGAAAACAATTTTGGGTGTTGTTGATATGAATTCAAAATTTTGAGTCATTGAGTTCAATATTTCGAGTTATTCCATTCCGTATGCAGAGTTGAGCAAGTTAGTATTTCAAAAGTTTGTCCATTTGAATTCAGCATTGAATCAAGTTGAATATCTCAGGGTTGACAAAATATGTTGATCATATATATATCTTGTAAATATATGTATATTTCCAATAATTTGAAATTGAAGATGGGGAAATAACGCACCAGAAATAGCTGGTTTCCA